AATCCCAACAATGATGCAACACAGGGTACACTACAACCGGTCGCAACAACATTTGTGACTATTGGTATGCTACCACCACCGCCACCCGAAATCGCTACAATTTCTGCGGCTGGCACTCCGGGTAGTACGACGAGCACATTTAAAACGCCACTCTTACCAATGCCAACATTAGAGGATATCGAAGGCGGTCTAGCGCCTAGCAATATACAACAGCCTATACCAGGTGGCATATTGAAATATCCAACAAACACAATAACTATGAATTTGCCAATTGGCATGGGCCCTGGTCCACCAAACTTACCACCCCCAACACAAACTCTATCAGCACAACAGCCACCGCCTGCAACACTTACAATCGATGATACAACATCGTGCGGCACACTGAAAAGTAATGCAAAACTGCTGCATAGCACAGGACCGACATTGCCACCACTTCCACCGCTACCACCACCAACTGTGGGCATCTTAACGAACTCTGGCAACAGTGGCAGTAGCATGGCTGCTCATGGCAAAGGTGTTGGCAGCAATAGCGGCAGCACAGCCACAAATCTAAACAACTCAAGCAGTAATTTACATCATAAACCAGCAACCAAATGCTGTTGTTGTTTTGGGAGTGGGCGTAGTGATTCCAAATCTAAGAAACGTAAGCACAAGAGGCAAACACTGTGGTCAGCATTCCTAACGAATTTGGGTATTTGCGCTTTGCTTTTGGCTTACACGCTTTTAGGTAAGTCAGTAGTCAGTAGTGGTTTTATAAAATTTACAAACTTTCAGTTTTCTACTTCCCAACAAATACTTTTTTTGTTGTAATTATAACGAAAAATATACTCAATTTGATAAAGTTATTTGCGCTATAAACTATATTTTAATTTAACTGATATCTCAGTCCACTTGTGCATTGTTCTAGAAAAACCAACCAAAACCAAACCTATTGATGCAAAAAATATCTTTTACTTTCTCAAAAGTTGCTCTTCATTTTAAAACTCATAGTTTTATTTTATTTTTAATTTTATTTAAGTAAAATTTATCAGTTTTAAATTAAATTGAAAAGATCTGTTTTTAATAAAACATACTTTTATAATAAGTCAAAAATTATACTACTGCAATATTATTAAAGGTTCTACTATTTTATTATAACATAAAGAACTTATAAATTTGATTAAATACAGACGCTGCACTCATCCATACACCATAAAACTGTGGTAGTAAAACAAAGAGAGATTTACCTTACAATGAAATTATTAATATTTGGTCATCCTAATATTAACTAGAACTAACATATTTTCTTTGTATTTTCCAACTTATACATACATTTAAACAAAATAAATTTCCAATCTTTGCCTAAGCTTTATTACCATCATTTTTATTCTTAACTAAGACTACTGTAACTCCTTTTGGATGTCCCTGGAAATAGGAACATCGAAGCGAACAAGAAAGCTAAAGGTTTAATCCGCGTTTATGCTTTCCTGCGTGCAGGTGACGAATCATGGATATATGTGTTAGAGTCGGAACGTAAACAGTAGTCGACTGTATGGGTGTTTCAAGATGAACCGAATCCAACAAAAGTTGTTCACTTGTTTTTTCAGAAAAAACTTGTCATGTGGCAATTATACCAAATATACCATTACAGAAACAGTTAATTCCGAATGGTATTCCAGTACAACCATTTGTATACCGGAAATCTTCAGTAAAATATGGAAAATAAACAAGCACTGTCGGATCATTCTCTATCAAAACAATGCGAGTGCTCACAGATCTCGTCTAACAGTCTATTTGAACATTCAAATAATCGGATTGATGAGTCATCCGCTGTACAGTCCTGATTTGGCACGCAATGACTTCTTCTTGTCCCCGAACCAGAAATCAGCGCTGTACAGTCCTGATTTGGCACGCAATGATTTTTTCTTGTCCCCGAACCAGAAATCACAGACAGGCCAACACACAAATAGATAATCAAATCTACAACCTATCTCAAGGTTGCAGCATTAAAAGAACACAGAACAGAAAAATGTAGGACCTGACTGATTTTTGTATTCTTGATATTAAAAATTATGATATATATAAAAAAAATTTCTGTTTAAGACAGTTAGCAAGGAATTTGCTATTTTGTTGTGTAGTCTCTAGAAAAAAAATTCATCTCATATTTTAAATAGTGATTATTCCTAAGTGGTTTAACGATTTATTAGCCAATGAACGATTTCATCAAGAAAAAAAATGTAGTACTATCATCATAGTTTAATAAAAGTTATAATAATTTTATAATTTTGTGAGGTACACAAAATTTTCTTAGAATATAAAACACTCCTTATTTTAATATTAAAAAATATTATAAAATTCTTCAAAATCTGATGATGGCAATGTCGTTACGGAAAGTATGTGTAAATGTTAAGCATAGCTTTTAGTGACACAAATGTATTAAAATGTCTTTTCCCTGGATACATAAATTTCTAAACTGCATGCGGAAGAACTTCTCAACTTATATGTGTCAAAAAGTTTAGGCAAACTTTTAAATCTTTAAAATAAAAACAACCTACATTTCTGTAGGGATAGATCCACGCTCTTACGCATAATATTCTTAACATAATAATTTTGCTGTGGCATTAGTGTGGCACATTGGCGCATTTTGACGGTAACATTTTGTGTTAAATGAGTAAAATCAACATAATCGACATAAGCCGCAACAAGAAAGAGTACCACAGTGAAATCCGGAACCACAATTCACACAAAAACAACAACAACAACAGTAACAACAACAAAAGAACAAAAACTGACAGCGTGTAAAAGACAGAAACATTTTAGAGTTAAAATGTTTTCAGTATTGCCATGTGCGAAAAACCTATCAACTCAACTGTCGCCGTTATTTTTCTTCATTTTTTGTTTTTGTTTTTTAGTTTCAACCAATCTAAAATCATTTACCACTTAAACCAACTAAATACAGATATACATTCATATA